TTCCAGGAAGCCCAGGGCAGAGCAACTCTGCCTCGGGCTTCCTGTAGTCAGCCGCTGGTCACATCTGGGCGTCCTGCCGCTCGCGTCCTCTGGGGCGAGAAAAGCCCCGTTCGTAACTGCGGATCCGACATAAGTCGGATCCGCGTAACTCGGGGACTGCCTGTACTCAGTTCATCTTTTTCCTACTTCACTATTATAGTTGGCAAAGTTAATATACTTTTAGGTATGGCATACAGCAACTAAACTTATTTTTCGCTAACATGGTCTCTGTACTTCAACAGAAATTAAATGGCTACATCTACACTGGCATGATTTTCCGGAAATGCTTTTAACGGAAAAGTTTGCTGTTAAAAGCATTTTCGGAAAAGTGCATTTAGATTGGCAGGGGACGTTTCCGCAAAAGCACTTTTTGCAGAAAAGTGTCTGTGGCCAATTAGACCTGATCGCCATTTTCGCGATCAGGGCTTTTTTGCGGAAAACAAATCTCTGCTGTCTACACTGGCCCTTTTGCGCAAAAGATTTTTGGAAAAAGACTTTTACCCGAACGGGAGCAGCATAGTATTTCCGCAAAAGCATTGACAATCTTACATGAGATAGTCAGTGCTTTTGCAGAAATTCAAGTGGCCAGTGTAGACGCCTAGCAAGTTTCTGCAGAAATTCAAGTGGCCAGTGTAGATGCCTAGCAAGTTTTTCCACAAAAGCTGATGATTTTGCGGAAAATCTTGCCAGTCTAGACACAGCCATCGAGTATGAACAGCCACAGCTTTTCAGTAGATACAAAACTCTTCCACAAGACACAGTTATAGGAAGATGATCAGCTTTATAGATATTCTTCCTACAGATTTTTATAAGCTTCGTTTGATTTGAAGTGTGTTGAATTCCTCCATATTACGCAGAATTGTATATGGACATTACTATATGTTGTTTTTCTATTGCTCTTGTATTCTCTTGCTATTAATGGAAGTTTTAGATGGGCAAAAGTCACAGGATCAGGCCTTTTGTTTTGGAAACATTTTAGACTGAAATACACATTCATTTTCAATTATAGAACATCTACTGTAAGTAACATTAAGATGTTTGTGCAGCACAAACAATGTAGCACACAAGTTTTTCTGTTATAATCCAAACAAAAAAAACGATCAGCATCATACCAAGTATCACCTTCAAAGGGCCTTACCAACATTAAGTAACCCTCACAATCCCCTTGTGAGCATGGTAGATATTATCTTCATTTTACAGATGGGGAAAAAATGAAACAAAGGCAATGTGACAGATGGGATTAGAGCTCAAATTCCTGACAAGCTTCTGTGATCAAGTGTCTCCACATTCTCTGAATGCTGCAAAGGCATGCAAAAAAAAACTTAACCTAACACTTGTTTCTGCATACATACAGAAGATGGAGCAGACAACTACTACCATTAACTAACAGCAGATAAATCATCGAAGGGAATTTCAAATTAGCATCTGACCCATTCAACAATAAAATAAGGTCATGATTGATAAAATAGGGAAAAAAACTTTTAATAAAAAATGTGGTTAGTTCAGTCCATAATAAGAAATGGGAAGGCTCAGAGTCTTTATAAATGTGTGCTTCATGTGCTATCCACCACTGATTACTTTGAAAAAATAGGTTGTTACCCAAGTGAAGGAAAACTGCAGGAACCCAGCTGCTTTTGCGTGAACAAACCAGCCAGAAAAGGTTTTACAGGACTTTCTCGGTATTTTGCCATATTAAAAATACAGGACCTTTAATACCAATATTTTATATTAGGCAAAATGCTTTATCCCCTCCATTAGTTTTAGGAGCAGTGTCTGCCTAAGTATGACATTTTAACTTTAATCAATTACATAGTTTGTTTAAACACTAGCCTTGAGTTTATTCCTTAATTTGCCAACTAAGTGAAAATCAACCAGCAAAAGATTTTTAAGACAGAATTATCTAAAACATTTTAACATCTTCTGAAGGACACAGTGGTCAGATTGATAAAACAGGATAGATAACTTCTCTACCAAGCACTCACATTTAGCTAATTATGTCAAGTTCTCTCAAATACAAGTGTTTCCAATCATATTTACTTGTGCAATTTGTGAAAATAAGTAATCAGAAGTATAATATAAAAGGCTGATTTAATATCAGAGATTTAGTTCTTTAACATATCCAGTCCATTAATAACTAAAAAATCTCCAGATCATGAGCATTATCAATTTCAATGGCATCCTCTGGATCCAGCTTTGTTTCACCATGTCCTTCCTGTAAATCATCCAAAGAAGCCAGGGCCTCATTTGTGTCACTAGCAAAAGTTTCTCGAGATGCATCATCATATTCTTGAAGGTTGAGCCCTTTTATAGCTTGTTTCATCTTCTTTCCCAGAACTTGTAGTCTCCTCTTCTTAGCAGCTTTTTTGTTTTCATACTCCTTCTGGTTTTCAACACAGAAGATTTCCTTAAAGAGGAAAATATTTATGTAATATGCTGATTATGCATATCTTTACCTTAAAACTGCTAAGGAAAAAAATGAAAGAGCCCTACGTACCTAACCAGGATATAATTGCCTTTAATAATCTTTAAAATAGTAAGATTGCGCTTTAGACATAAAGGGGTTAAATAACTGAAAGGGTAGGTGTCCCAAATTCAACCTTTAAAGACATATTAGAAAAATATATAAATAGTATTTACGACTATTCCCTATAAATAACAAACAATTCCACATTAAACAGATCAGAGCTTTGATGTGTAGATTTGTATTTAGATAACTCGAGGAAGATTGTGTTTGTACTACAGATTGAACATCTCTAGTTCAAGGCACCCTTGGGACCTGACTGGTACAGAACCAGACAATTTGCCAGACCATGGGAGGTCAATATTGTTTAGTAGCATTAACAACAGTTCCACTGCTTACTCGGCTCTTAAGACATTTAGGGGTAAATTAGAGCTAACCAACAGCACAGAACACTGAGCAAGAAATGGTGGCTGTAAATAAACTTTATGGGACTGTGGGAAACTTGGCAACACCTATGATAAGAAGACACTTGGCCAACTAAAATCATGCCCAAACCAAAGAGTGCCAGACTAGAGAGGTTCAACCTGTAGTCTAAAAGTTAAGTATAAGAATGGCCATACTGGGTCAGACCAAAGGTCCATCTAGCCCAGTTTAGGGATGTTAAATTTTGATTAATCAGCTAATCAAGTAGTCGATGGAATTTCCGATTAGTCAATTAGGGAGTAAAATAACAAGGGTAGGTAGGTGTCCCAAATCCAACCTTTAAAGACATATTAGAAAAATATATAAATAGTAAAAATAAACAAACAACTAAAAATAGGGAATTTCCAATTAGTCAATTAGGAAGGAGCTCACTATCCCGCTGTACCTCCCATTTGAAATGTACAGGAGCCATGGACAGTTCTTGTACATTTCAAAGGGAGAGAGGCAGCAGGAACCTGAGGCAATCCCTGCTGGGGAGAGTCCTCTGTGGGGAGAGTTCCTCTCTAGTCTTACTATTACTCTGGTGTCAAATATTTGTGAAGCCTAATGGCGAAATACATTGTGTCCTTTTCTAGTGCTGCTCCTGATACCATTTATTCCATTAGCACATACCGCAGAGGTGCTTTCTATGTATTTAAAAATTCTGACATTGCAGAGGAGTTCCTGTCAATATAATGCATGATGAATTTGAGGATTGCTTTTTTTTCCAGTTTGCTTTTTAAAAAAAACCCCAAAAACCTAGGAAGTCATGCACTCAAAAGATGGTGTATATCTCTGTACTAAGGTCACTTGTGTAGCTATTTCTGTGGCCCTTTCACATATGCATTATTATACAGTCTTTATTCACATGATTGTATACTATTTTTATTACAGTATCTTTGCCTCATTTAGTGCACTGGATGCAGCATGATCTGGGGACGAATCAGAGTTGTAAAGGTAAGAAGTTGCTGTCTGTAGTACCCTTGCTGCATTTGTTGTGGAAGCTGAAAGAAGAACACTACACATTTAAGAGCTGCTATCCAATTTGAGCACAAGTTCTGTGGAAAAAATAGTATGAGATCATACAATTAAAGACTGTTATAAGTAAGGTCCTCAAATTCTTGGCCACAAAAAATAAATTATGAACTTCAAAATCTGGTCTGGTGTACTTTTCCTTTATATTAATACAGATTTCATGGGCATTTCTCAAACTGGGGTGTTCTAACCCAAACAAAGGTTGCAGGCTAAGTTCCCTGTAACAAAACTGATTCCACTCAGTTGTGGGAAAAATTAGAGGGAATACTGGTTGCGGGTGATGGAGGCTAGTGTGTGTGGGGCAGGGGTGGGGGGGCAGAAGAGAGGGGGTGTCATGACATTATCACCATTCTATGTTCTTGCTGGTGCAGGAGCACTCCCTCTAGAGCTGAGTGCCTGTCCAGCAGCCACTGCTTTTTGCTCTGGCTTTAGAGCTGGGTGGCTGGAGAGGAGTGGTTGCTGACTAGGTACCACCACTTCCCACAGCAGTGCAGAAGTGTGATATAGTCAAGAAGTTCACCATTTGGGGAAGTGGGATAGGGGGAAATATGTTGTCACAGCCTGTAATATTTTCAAAAGAGGTCTCTGCCAAAAAAAAAAAAAACCCCAAAAACAAAAAACAAACACCCACAACATCCCAAAACCTACCATGGAGAATCCTGGATTTAGTAGACTCCCTTATCGAAAGCCACTTACAAATGTAACAGTAGTACAATATATTTGTATACAGAACACATTTATAAAATGTCACTTATGCCATGAGCAACCCACAAAAAATAACTTCACAATTTAAGTTGACCTCCTAGTCATTACACATATAAACAAGCAGCTGAATTCAGAAGATTAGCATTCACTATCTTTGGAGGCCTTAACTTTGTACCCTTAATATTGCCTTTAACCAGGGGCGGAGAACCTAAGGCCTGGGGGCCGGATGCAGCCCCTGGTTTGCCTAGATCCAGCCCCTGAGGCTCAGGTTTTTTGTGTGCAGCCCCTAACTGATTTTTCTATGGGTCAGTGGCTCCCAACACAAAAAAGGTTCCTCATTGCTGCCTTTAACAGTTGTGTGTGGGAACAATTACAGATTTGCACAATTAACATTTTCATACTAGTTTAACTCTCTTAAAAAAAAACACTCTAAAATTATTAGTTCTTCAAAAAAGGATTTTAATTTACTGTAGTCATGCTGATTTACAATCTAACTTGTTTACCTTGATTTTCTCTCCAGTGATGCTAGGTGTATTCTTCAGGAGATTTAAATAAACTCCTCCTGGCGTTCTTCTTCTACTACCATTCTACATAAAGGAAAAATAAGTTATTCAGCTGATTCAAAGTAATTGTCATTTACTAATTCTAAAATGTCCCTTAATTTTTATTTGGTAACTCCTTTCTTTAGTATTTTTATTATTTATATCGTGATAGTGCTCAAAAGTCCCAGTTAAGTACCATGACCCTATGTGCTAGGTGCTATACTGAGGTAGCATCCAGATGCCCAGAACCAACTGCGCCAGGTGCTGAACAAGCATGTTACAAAGACAATCCCAGCTCTGAATAGTTTTTTCCCCCTTGAGTTTCATCTATAAAAATTGGCCAATGACACACAAGACACTCTATAATTGGATAGGTGAATTATGAAATTTAAAAAAAATACTCCATTTAAAGTTTCAAGAGCCAGTTAAGAAACAAGAACTGGTATAATAGATCACATCAGCTACAAATCCACCGATTCAGGTTTTATTAATTTGTACTACTATAGCATCTAGCAGTTGCAATCATGAACCAGACTGTAAGAAAGAGCTTACAATCTAAATACAAGACAACTGATGAATACAGACAGGGGAATACAAGGAACACACACTACAGTAAAACTCCATTGGTCCGGCATCCAATGCTTCGGCACTCCTGATGGTCCGGCACCATCGGGAACCCAGAAGTGCTCCGAGCAGCCGGACCATTGGAGCTGCTCTGCGCCCAGCTTTCCCGATTCAGCCGCAGCTGAAACTGACCAGCAGCTGAATCGGGGAAGCCAGGGGCAGAGCAGCTGGGGGGCGGCGCGGG